GAAGTTCATTTAGGATAAATGGAGTGTTATATTTGTGGTAAAGAAATGATTTTCGACTCACGTTCAGCGCCGCCACTTTTCTTGTTTCCTCCAGCTCCTCCCTTGGATTTCTTCTGTTTCGGTTTTGCAGTTGGCGTTAATTTGCTAGGATCACTCCCCGAAGGTGCATCAATGACTTCCTGTTGTTGAGCTTGTTTTTTCTCTTCGAGCTTGGCTGCTTTCTCAGCGAAGCCGGGTTCTTTTTGTTGCTTCACTGCAGGAGACTGGAATCGACAAAAATGTGCTTACTTTAGGGACACTGGTTCTTAAATCTCATTGTATTGGATATACTCTTTCAATTCCCCAGGTCTCATGTGTTTCGTTGTATATTTTCACGTAATTGTAGCAAGATTTGACGAGAATCCGTAATACAGTATATTTCAATTGACGGACAGGAAATTAGGTTACTCACCTGATGCATGCTTGGATGGGACTGTAGTAAGTTTTAGGGATGCCTCCAACGAACTGCCTCCTTGTTTGCTGGAATTTCCACTGTGGGCTTAGAGGGTGTCGTAGATTGACGTGTATATTGATCAAGCCGCGCTGCTTGATCAATATTTGTTTGAACGTTGCATTTTTTTTTCGAACTATCTATCGTGTGATGAACTTGATGATAACCGTGCTCAATGTATCGCTATTGGCAGGGGCAAGTTGTCAGCGTTTTAGTATCCCTGTTGGAGCAGTTTTCTTTTTATCCATGCAGATTTTCAACTTTTTTTGCCTGTGAATTTATCTTCACTTGGAAAGTTTTCTCTGTTCATATTTTTGTTGTTGCTCTTTGTGTATAGCTTTTGGTTTTATTGTATATTCATGAAAAATAAGTATCAATTTTCTTTTTGATTTATATGGACGAAATTTAAATTATGCTATCTGAAAGTTTGTTAATTTGGGAGCGTCATTCGCTGAATAAGTTGGTAGTTTTTTACGCTGCTAAGTCTTCTACAACGAAATTTTGGAGACCTGGAGAAAAATCTCCGTTATAATGAGATTTAGATAACATTCTCACTACACTGGAAGGGCCTGAGGAGAAATAGTTTCAATCTCATCTATCATTCGTTGTTACGAGATTCTTTTTAGCGATATTTCAGTGAATTTGGAAACTTGCTTGAAAAAATTTGAACGAAAAATAGTTTTGACTTCTTTTTCGTTTACATTTTTTATAATTACTGCCGTGCGGCAATATTTTATAAATCAAGAGGAAGAGTTGCGTTGATACGAAAGGATCCGTACAGGCACTGCTCAATTTACTATTAAGTTCAACACGCGTTTTGTTCATTTTT